ACTAAAGCATCCTGCCACAGACTTCTGCTTAAGATGTTATTGCAAAACCTGTCACTCCATAAACTTGCTGAAGCCCTTTGTGCTTGGATGTGCAGATGTGCCCTGATCCCCGGAGCCAGGGAATCATAGCCTGGCCCAGCCCCTCGGGGTCATCAGAACTGCAGAGGACTGCATCAGAGGAGTCAGTTGTTACATACTCTTGGGGACTGCAGAAGGTTTAGGTTGCTGATTCTTTAAAGGCCTGAATGGAAAAGAGTTATTGCAGGGCTTGAGATTAGTTAGTCTGCAGGCATTATGAGAGCCAACCCCAACTGACTACAGAGAGCAGCAATCTGTGCTGCTGCAGTGTTAATGGACCAGTCTCTGGTCTGGCAGGCCAGACCCCTCAGGACTCTAGGTCTCTTTCAGTAGCTACCTCTTGAGTTGTTTGCTTTGAGAATCTGATGCGTTCTGGAGGGGACCCTTCACACAAGCCAGCTGCTGTTCTATATCCAGTGCTTTGATCCTGCCTGTGTCTGACAAAGTCTCCAGACTGAAGAGCAAAGTTATCTATCCACTTTTTAACCCTTGTATGATAAAGTATCTGAACTTAAGTGAAGTGAATGATGATAAACCACCTGGATCTGGAGGTTTCAGTTTAGCTGCTGAATCAGGTGCCCCCGCTCCACATCTGCCATAGGGTTGGGAAAGGTTCTCCAATGTACTGTAAGCTACAGCAACTCCCCCGTATATGTGTATTTTCTGCTTCTCCTCCTCTTCCTCGCCCCCCCCCCCCCCAACACACTCACTCTTTTACTAAAGCATCCTGCCACAGACTTCTGCTTAAGATGTTATTGCAAAACCTGTCACTCCATGAACTTGCTGAAGCCCTTCAGGAAATCCCCACTCAGGCTGGTGCTCTTCCTCCTTAGAGACACGGGGATTTTTAGCTCACTTCAAGCCAGGAAAGACTGTCCTCTTTCACCATCCAAAAGTTGTTATGCTGTGTTGGCTCAGCTGACCTGGCTACAGATGCTGCTCTTGGTCTGAGAACTGACTTTTAATGTAACTTTCTGGCCTCTGCCAAAGGACTTGAACGCTGCCTCTTTCTTTTCAGGTAAGGGAAACCATGACCATGGATCCACAGCTGCTAGAAGAAGATTACTCCTCAGGCGCGTTGCCAGATGATGAAGACGTTGGTCGCAGCAGTTCTGAAAGCACCATTGATGATGATGACTATGATTTATCAGGGTCTGGTGATGAAGGTGTGTAGGCAAAAGAGTGTGAACCTTAAAGGGGAGAACTTCCACTGACTAATACCTCTTCATGCTTTGGTCTTCTATGCATTTGTTCTTTGGCCCTAGTAGACCCCAGCTTGGCAAATCATTCAGCTCTAAATAAGCTTGGCCAGGTGCCTTGCACGTGGTGTCTCTTTGGTACCTAAATGCACTAAGGGGAACAGTGGAAGGGCACCAAGCCATGTGGTTAGAATAGTACTATCTTGCCTTTACTGGGGCATTAAGATGCCTTATCTTTCCAATGTGTGATGTGCTAGTATTCTTTGGATCCCCTTTCCTTATCCAACAGCAAGGGGTGCTGAAATTTAATCTCCATTAATTTTTGCCCTCTTACAACCCCAAACTTGAATCTTCTAGGTGTGCCTTCTAAAATGGGTGACCCAATTCAACTCTCCTAGCATAAACAGGCTCCAACAGCTGGCATGTTGTCCTTCTCACATGCGCACTACATTCTCAAAAGGAGAAGAACAAGCTCTGAAATTAGCCTGTTGCATGTTCAGGCAGGTCTGGTGGTTGATGTCTATGCAATTTTATCCTTTAGGGATGGGTGTTTGGGAGCTCTGCCCTGTTTTTGAAGCCAGCCTAGCATGCCACAGTGTACTAGCTTCTGGAGCAACTCTTGCTAACCTGCAGCAAAAGCCGCTTGCCATTGCTGAGGACTTCTCCCCCGACCAAGTTAGTTATATGAGATTGCATCATGTGGCTTTGCAATCGGAGCTTCCAACTGGCAAAACCATTCTGAGATAAGAGACGGCTGCAACCAAGGCACAGCCCTAATTTTGTCTCCCAATATCCAGGCATCCTGCCTGGCAGTGGTACAGAGACCAAGAGAAGGTTAAATGCTGTGCTCTTTCTTTTCAGATGACTTTGATGTCCTGACTTCAGCCAGCACAGTCAGTCCTGTGGTGGGTATTTTTTTTTTTTTTTAAGTTCTTCCTCCCTCCCTAAAAATCTAATTCAGTAGTCTCCCTCCATGAGGCCTGTCTGCCACTGCAGGCTTCTGACCCCCTGTTCCCACTCCCATTCCCATCCTTGCTAGCACCTGGGTTGCAGAGGATGCGATCCATTAGCATACATGAGGGGAGCATTTCCAATGTACACCACTGAATTCACCTGGTGCCACAAAATGGTATCTGGCCCCTGCTCTTCTCTCCTGTATTATAACCTTTCAGTAAGTGCTTACTACAGGGTGTGTCTTGTCTGCTTTATTCAGAGCTCTAGTGATAACTATATCCCTGAAGACGGTGGGGAAAGGACAAAGGACATGAACAAAAACCCGATGCAAAACAATGAGATCGTTCCTGGGGGAGTTGTGCCTCTTCAGGAAGAGAACCTGTCCAACAAGATCTCCATGGCCAGCACAGGCAGTAGCAGCATCTTTGAAAGAACAGAAGTCCTTGCAGGTAACTGCCCCTCCCCTGCTCCCCAGCTAGCATCATGCTGTAACATGGGAGTGTCTCCACCCATGCTGTTGTGTTTTGGCCCTTCAGAGAAGGGAACAAGACTACTCTAGTGCAGAGCCAATGGGGCACAAGGCTACTGTTATATGCCTTCCAGTCCTCCAGTTTTATGAACAGTGTAGAAACTCCTGCCTAGAAAGTGTGGTGGCCTGAGGGATAGCAGGGTGGGACATGGCTTGGTAAAGGCTTGATGGCTATTGTTCAAGGCTCTCCTCCAGTCTCATAAAGGGGAACTGTGGAAGCGCTGTGCCTGCTCCAGCTGTCCTTCGTGCCCAGCCTGTGATTATCTAAGAGTATCATTTAGCCATAAATCAGTGGCACAATATGCTTCAGTCACTCGATAGCCTTGTAAATGAACTGCAGTAGTTCTCCCTTTACAACACAATGACTTGCTTCTTCTTCTGTATGGGCACCTTGCCAGCATAGGGCAGACTCCTTCTCTGAAGGATTTTAGTACCTAGATTCACAGCAGCAAGCTAACTGGCTCTTTTTACAACAAAACAAAGCTGCTGCCTACCCCTCACCGTTACCACATCTGCAAAACTGTCGCTTTCGAAGCAGGCTTAGTTGGGATGGAAGACATTGGCCTGGCAGCTCTGGGGGACTGGAAACCCTCTGTACGTGACCAGGGTCATGCAAGTTTTTTGGGTTGTCTTCATCAATGTGCCACACAGCTCTTCAGCTCTTCTCAATGCCTGGCTGCAGTGGCAGGGGTCAGCATAAAAATTGCATTTGGCACAGAGAGAAGTGTTGATCTACCTGGAGCGTGTGATCCTCATTTGGAAGTGTGGGAAGACCACCAGTAAAAGCTTTTTATGCCATTGAATCAAATTTCTCCCATCCCATTCTCTGGAACTGAACCAGCTGGTCTCTGCCTTAGTTGAAGGCATTGGGTGTTAAAGAAACTTGCTTTAGTTGCAAGAGATGCTGATATTAAGCTGGCTTCTGAGCATTCCTGAATGTGATGGAAGGGCCATTCATAGCATCTGAGAAGACACTTGTCTTCTGCATTTCTGAATTACTTGGTCTAGAAGGTGCCACCTTGCCCAGCCTTCTGTCTGGGATGGAAAATGTCTTGTTGCCTCTGAACAATAAAGGCTACCAGGCCTGAATGGCAGTAGTAACAAGATGCTTCTGGTGGGCAGCTCAAACGCCAGCTCCATTGGAGGCAATTCTGAAATAGTTCATTAATTGTGTACATTTTTGTTTTTGTGGGGTTTTTTTGTCTAGTGAGGCAGGTCTGAGAATTTAAAGACTCACTCTGTTCTGTTTTACAGCTCTTATTGCAGGTGGGGCAGTGGGGCTGCTGTTTGCCATCTTCCTAATTCTCCTTTTAGTCTATCGCATGAAGAAAAAGGATGAGGGCAGCTATGACCTGGGCAAGAAGCCAATCTACAAGAAAGCCCCTACAAATGAATTTTATGCTTAAGCTCATCAGCACCTCCTCCCCATCTGGGGACAGAAATGGACTATATTGAAGCATTTGGCCTTCAGATGAGAAGCATTGAACAAATGGATTTTCTGGATGCAATTTCAGAGATTTCTTTAATTTTCTATGTGCCCCTTCCCATCCTCCTTGACTAACAAGGGCCCAATGAGATGCAGCAAGTCTTGAAAAACACTGTCATATTAAGAAAAGCTTAAGAAAAAAGTACAAAAAAGCCAAACTTTTCCCCCCTTTTTTGGGTGATGGGTGTATGAATTACCAAGCTGTGTGTGGAAGCAAACTGTGTGTCTACCTGGTATGCAGTGTTCCTATTCACCTCTTGTAGAAGCAGGATTTTCAAAAACCCTTTTGGAATGGGGTTTGTCCTGCAGTAGGCTACTCATGTCAGGCATTTGGTACACACCTGTTTATGAATTTTACCCTACAGTATAATGTTGCCTTATCAGGGGGCTTGTGCCCTCTGGGCTCAGGGTTCCTGTACGCCATAAACAATCCATGGGAGAAATGACTATATGGGTTCTAGGGGGAAGTTTCCTTTTCCTTTGCCCTGGGCAGGGCTGTTAATCCATAAGAATCAGGGGAGTCTTTTTGCATAGCTCTGAGACAATCCCCTTGTTCTCCAAGTTTTTTTTTTTTTTAACGTAGGATTTTTTTGTAATAAAATTGGTAGGAAAAATAGTCTAATGTTTATATATGTTTGTAGAAAATGTGCTCACATAAACCCCCTGCTTTCTTAACTTCTTAAGATTTTTGTGTCTTCCGTTCATTCTCTTCCCCCCCCCC